ATCCTTGAGATTTTCCATTGATGGCGTCACTCGTAAGGAATACTTGGTTTGGTACCCAAAGTTTCCTTGTGGTGCGTTGACCCTGATGCTTCCAGCTGGATGGGGAGGATACTGTACCAGGGAATCCCGTGAGTGGTCATCGCTCTGAACCTCCCCAGTACGTTTTTTGGGACAGCACTACGCAGTATAAGAGAAGGTGGCTGGGTACGATATATTAATGAGGATTTATAATTTTCTAAAAGTTAGTACAGTAACAATATCTAGGAAAGTGTTTGATGGCTTCAGGATGAGTCAAAGCAATCTAAACCACATTTATATACTGATATACGTTTTAAAGTTTTGTGGTGTGTTGTAATTGTGCCTCTTTTGTTGTGAGGTTGTAGACTGGTTGGCCTCCGCCATTCATGGAAGCACAATTCCAGAGGAAAAGTCAAGGGCGTACTCTATTTTTTTTTATTTTTTCGTTCGTCCACATTCACACCAACAGAGTGATGCTCTTATACACATTTTCCAACCTTCAGCAACTTCATTCGTTGATTTATTTTTCATATGTCTTCCGCTGTTTACCCTCTAACATGACTTTTTATGTATAATGTATAAACGATCCAGTGTTGAAACAATCATATTTCTAGTCACACGTTAATATTGTTTTAGTACGAACAGCGGCCGACTACATTCTATTTGTGATAAAGTAATTGAACTTTAATGAGCGTGTAATATCGTTGATGATTGGTGATCAGTATCGGTACCTGTTGTATAGATGGTCACCAACACTTATTGTGGAAGGTTGCACTACGTCTTGCAGTTACGCACCACCTTCGAACGGTCGAGATGTACGATGTTCAATAGTGCATCTCTTTCTGTACACACAGCTAGATCATTCCTTGGTGTTTGCTTTATTTAAAAATCATGAAGTCAAAAGAATTTACACAATTATTTTAATGGGATTGTTGTGTTAATGACATTGTTTATTTGTGATGAATGTATGTGAACCTTGTCCATTGTTGTATATGATGACGTCAATGGTAAACAAAAGAATTTGCATACCGGTATCATTGTCTGTAATTCCGGTGATGGATTAAATTTTCAGACACTCGGTGTAGATAGTATATTCGATTAGTTGTTTTACCAATTAAGTATTAAATCCACGACACAAGTTTTGTCTACACAATAACATAACGGACTCGTCTGTGTGATTCAGCTTTTTACTGTTTTTGGCCGGAGGGATGTTGTCACCACCCATGCCATTGTTGAATGTTGATATTGTCACTCGGTTTAATAATGTTGAGGAACTTTTTATGGCGGCTTCAGTTGTTTGTTTACACATTTAGCATGGCGCCTCCCCCCTCTCTTGAAGCTTAACAACTATTTGTTAACAAGTCGGACGGTATGTGGTCATACTACATGTACAGTACTGGTATTAACTAAAATCGAATACAACATTGCCTCCTCTCTTTCTCCACAAAGATTCGAAACCTGTCACGTTTTTGTCTTATTATTCTGTAATTCACTTGACGGATAGGAGAATGTTGGCAACGTCAAGAAGCGTACGAGTAGACCCCGTCACCCCTGGGAGGTAGTGGCAAGTGACCGATTCGTAGGTTTTCAGGTCGTTGCTGCTTTTCTTATCATGTCACCCGGTACATTGATTGTTGAGTATACAAGGTGTAATTATGATCAATTTAATCTGCTCAAGATCTGTTATACTGGCGGGATCGAATTACAGTGTCCCATGGATGTGTGTCATCAAAGTGGAGAGGTTATCATACTTAGGATTTAGTTATCGAGCTCAGAAAGTCTAACTGGACTTATACACAGTCATCTTGTCTTGTTGGTGACAGACTTTTGCACACAAGTAGAGGAGTCACTGGGTGCGAGATCACACACACACCCACACACACCCACACACACACACCCACACCCACCCTAGCGCTTATCTAACCTAACGTGAACTAATTTAACCTAAATTAATCCAAACTAACCCGACCCTATCCCAGGTGAAATAAGCTGTGGTATCTAATCTTCAGGTAATCTAATTAAACATTTTGTGTTTGTCTCCCAGTTTTCGTGACTAACATTATCGATTAATTTATGTAGTTGATTTATTTAGACGGGGAAGACTGAGTCATATGCCGTCAGTTGGTTGTAATTAATTGTGGGATTCGGCAAGTAGAGCTGCGCGTGCTGTACTGATAACCGTATTAATCGCGTCCGTCCGTCCGTCCGTCCTACTTCTTGTCCGGCTGCTCTACTGCATGTCCGGCTGCTCTACTGCATGTCCGGCTGCTCTACTGCATGTCCGGCTGCTCTACTGCGCTTTAAGTCGCCCTACTGCGCTTTAGTCCGCCCTACTGAGTGTCTGGTATTCATGTGTGTGTCCGACCTTTAAAGGTGTGTGTGCTCTTTCTACTCTTGTGTGTGTTTTTGACCTTCTGTGTTTGTGGTCCTTTGTGCCAAGTTTTCCTACTGTGTGTGGTGGTTGTTCTACTGTGTGTGGTGGTTGTTCTACAGTGTGTGGTGGTTGTTCTACAGTGTGTGGTGGTTGTTCTACAGTGTGTGGTGGTTGTTCTACAGTGTGTGGTGGTTCTACAGTGTGTGGAGGTTGTTCTACAGTTTTTGGCTGCAACATTACGATGATTAACATTATCTGCGTGAGGAACCACCCTCCTCTCCCTCCCCTGGACACGGACTACAGTATTCCATTTCGTTTATGTTTTTGCTTCAGAAAAAAACCCAAGAACAAATGCCGTTACAAGTACAGACAGAGACAGTTTAGTTTGATCACAATATATGAACAATGCAGGATTAACCAACACCTTCAGGTTACGTCATACTTACACTCAGAAAGTAAGAGCACTTATCTTCTATTTATCATCAGAATTGCAAACCAGTTGTCCCTCCCTCACACTTATTACCTCCGATAAGTCATGCAAGATTGCCAAATTAGGTGTGTTTTTTTTTTTGCCAAGGCTGATGATGATTATTTATTCATTTATATAGTGTGCATATTACTTTTTACAGTAGATGTTATGTATTCAAGATCTAGGCAAGGAATGTGTGTTGTCTCCTCTGTAGTGGATGCAATCCTAGACAAGGTTCTCGAAACTCCAGAGCACGAGCAGTAGGTATATTCAATAAGTGTACAAGACTTGGCGTGATAGCCGACCGATACAGAGACGAGCACAAGGGGCCCCGGACCGTAGGTAGGCCGAGGCTGATCTGAGGGATGTTGTCTAGCTGGGCAAGGAGAGTTGCTAGACATCACTAGGACAATAACTGAGGTCCTCTAGTTACTCGACTAGCGCGGTACAGACATAGTATATCGGGGCCTGGTGAGTGAACCTAGGCATTAGACATGAGCATAGATATCAGACATGGTATAATAATATGTAGTAATACAGACATGTGAATAAATGGTACAATGAATGGTAACAGAGTCTTGGCGTCAGGCGTGTTCACATATCTATACATCCTCCATGTGTCATTAACCTAAACTGAAGTCCTTGTTTGTCATGGGCAGTTTTTACTGAAGGAACGTATTACGAGAAATGTGAACATATTTAGTGTTGATTGTTTCAAAAGTTACGGCTCGTTTACCAGACTTTGCGCATCTGGCACGTACACGAGCCTGCCAGTGCAGGCAACACACCGTTCCACTGGGATATTCTCGTAACACTCAGGCTGCGGTCATTAGTCTTTCACGCACTATCACTCCTGCTGCTGATTCACCCTGACTGGTAGAGTTAATTTTAGGTAATCATTTCCACATAGAAAAAAAAACTTGTACCAACAGTTGATGGATACCATGATAAACCCGTCACGCTTAGTTTTCCTCACTTACTATTTACTGTACGTATGTATACGCTGGTATTAGGATTTCGATATTTATAACCTTGAATTTAAACATAGTATGCCTGAATTGGCCATAATGAATTTATATGACTGTCTTTGTTAATTGTCATTTTTCGGTAATTGTTTCTTCACCTTGGTTGGTTAGACTTCTCAGTGGTAGGATTAGGAGGAGGGGACTGGAGAGGATGACGCCACAGGATTTAGTGACGGGAAAACCACAGTGGAGGAGGTTAGAGGCGTAGTTGACAGCACCACCAGCTTCTCGTGTTACCGTTGCTGTGTGGCCTCAGCTGTCCTTGGCCACGTTCTCCTCTACCCTGGATATCCTCCACACAAATTGGACTAGAATTAAAGGTTGTCTGGATTGATAATAGCACCGTGTTGATATACGAGTAATCGAGTATTCTGTCTTTCAATGTGGTATTTAGTATGTTGTGGGAGGTGTGTAGCACGTGGGTATGGTGTAAAAGTGAGTGAGAGACGATGTTGGTAGGGAAGAGGGAGGGGGGTGTCACTATGGTGGTTGGTGTATCGTTGCAATGTGTTGGTGTTGTGAGAGAGTTTCCTGTAGTGCCACACTCTCACTTGTTTTAACTCTTCTTGTACGTGTTTCTCTCTTCACCTTCGTTGTCCTTATTCCCACTTTCCTTCTCTGGCATTGCTTTTCGTTCTACACCCATAACCCACCAACACCACACCATCTCCTCATCTGTACCTTCTCTCCAAGCCCCCCCCACAAGCCGCCCCCCCCCCCCCTGGCCCCCCCACAAGCCCCACCCCCCCACCTGCACCTCATGACCCGCAACCCCACCACCCGTACTTGCGCCCAAGGTTTTCTAGACTTTGCTGGCACCCACCGGTGATCGGGTGTACACTGTTGGCTCCCTGTAGTTCTCACTTGGTGTCCCCAAGGTCTTAATACAAATCTCGGCGTGGTTGATATAACGGAGGCCAGACTGTGTTAAAGAATGCCACTTTGGGTTTGACTTGTGCTTTCTCGTGTCGAGTCTGATTTTCTTTATCGATACTTGTCTTCAGCTTTCCCTCTTTTCTGCATCTACTCTCAACATGTGATAACTCTTATTAGATCTTTCAGTATATCAGTTGTATACAAAATGTGACGGAACTAACTATGTGTCTCTTTACAGAATGCTGTTACTCATAGTGGCCCTGGAAACAAGGCCAGGGTGATGCTCGAGTGGGAACCTCCCTCAGACTTCTCCGGCGATGTCGTCTTTATGTAAGTACTCGGTTTTACCAGTGTGTTGAGGTACCACTGACTTAGGTGGACGGCTGGTAGTGGCTCCCTTCATTGGTGTTAGTCCTGAGCGGTGTTTCCGTAATACTTCACAAGACACCTTTGGCATAGCTTCAAATCTTAGGACTCTGGCATCTAAAACAAATGCACAAAAATCCTCTTATTATACAATTAAAATCTAGAACCGTGTACCAGATGGACTGTGACTCATGGTTTAGGTGCGGTGACACAGATATAACTTCGAAGCTACAACAAAGATTTCGAGTTCTGTCCACTGTGTACACGACCTTTAGTATAAGTCCTTTGGATGGTACTGGGAAGCTTTTACAAAGTGTTAGTCATCAGCTGGGCGGACGGACGGAAATTCCAGAAACCTAATGTCCCGTGATACCTGGCGGGACATAAAGAAATTATCATATGGTGAGATCATCCAGCGGGAAGTATTGAAGATTCTGTTGTATCGTTTTGTCACAACAGTGGTAACCAGTGTGAGCATTGGTAGACCACTAACACTGCACAGATAATATAAACATTACAAATTACTCTCTTAGGTTGTGTGGTACGTGTGAGGGAGTTGGTGTAGAGATTGTGGGTTTAGTGTTGTAGAGATGGTGTGTGTGGGTTTAGTGTTGTAGAGATGGTGTGTGTGGGTTTAGTGGTGTAGAGATGGTGTGTGTGGGTTTAGTGTTGTAGAGATGGTGTGTGTGGGTTTAGTGTTGTAGAGATGGTGTGTGTGGGTTTAGTGTTGTAGAGATGGTGTGTGTGGGTGTAGTGTTGTAGAGATGGTGTGTGTGGGTTTAGTGTTGTAGAGATGGTGTGTGTGGGTGTAGTGTTGTAGAGATGGTGGGTGTGAGTGTAGTGTTGTAGAGATGGTGTGTGTGGGTTTAGTGTTGTAGAGATGGTGGGTGTGAGTGTAGTGTTGTAGAGATGGTGTGTGTGGGTGTTAGTGTTGTAGAGATGGTGGGTGTGGGTGTAGTGGTTGTAGAGAGATGGTGTGTGTGGGTGTGGTGTTGTAGAGATGGTGTGTGTGGGTGTGTGGTGTGTGGTGGGTGTGGTGTGGTGTTGTAGATGGTGTGTGTGGGTGTGGTGGTGTGTAGAGTGTGGTGGTATGGTGTGGTGTGAGGTGTGTGGTGGTGGGTGTGGGTGTGGTGGTGTGGATATGATGGTGTGGTGGTGTAGAGAGGGTGTGTGTGGGTGTAGTGGTGTAGAGATGGTGGGTGTGGGTAGATATGATGGTGTGGTGGTGTAGAGGGGGTGTGTGTGGGTGTGGTGGTGTAGATGATGGGTGTGGTGGTGTAGAGAGGGTGTGTGTGGTGTAGTGGTGTAGAGATGGTGGGTGTGGGTGTAGTGGTGTAGATATGATGGGTGTGGTGGTGTAGAGAGGGTGTGTGTGGGTGTAGTGGTGTAGAGATGTGTGGGTGTAGTGGTGTAGAGATGGTGGTGTAGAGAGGGTGTGTGTGGGTGTAGTGGTGTAGAGATGGTGGGTGTGGGTGTAGTGGTGTAGATATGATGGGTGTGGTGGTGTAGAGAGGGTGTGTGTGGGTGTAGTGGTGTAGAGATGTGTGGGTGTAGTGGTGTAGAGATGGTGGGTGTGAGTGTAGTGGTGTAGATATGATGGGTGTGGTGGTGTAGAGAGGGTGTGTAGAAATCGTGAGGGAAGGTTGGTTAGAAAATGTGTGTTAACTGCCAACATCAGTACGATGTGTGTCCAGTGAGAAGACCACAAGACCCTACTGTGTACACTGCCAGTGATGGATACTGTCAAGAGCGTATACTGCCAGTGTATCAAAATCACTATAGTGGAGGACTGTCTTTATGGGGCGGGGGCGGTGTGAGCGACCTTGGAGGAGGGTGATGATGGGGCGGTGGGGAAAGGCTGAGAGTTTACGGGGAGGCCCAAGGGTGGCAGGAAAGGAGAGGGAATGTTGTGACCAATCTGTCTCTTCGCTTCTACTTTGGCTATTTCAATAAGATTTCATACACAAAACTTTTGCAGGAAAACCACAGCTGCTCATAATGATGCCAGGTGTCTTACATGTGCTAATAATGATATGAAGTGTCGTACAGGTGCTCATAATGTCGCCATAATAAAATGCAAGTCTAGTTTAATTTGGGTATTATTTTGTTAACTAAATCAGAAGTTACGCACCTCTTTCAAAATTTTGCAGCCAGATGAGACATGTTATATAATACAAGTTTTGTACACAACAGTGACCACTCAATAACTTCAGTTCTACTCTTGGCATTTTATGAACACTCAATACACAAAACCTTTAGAGGTACAGGAAGAGGCCTGTAGGTTTGGGTAGTGATCAGGTCAAAGATCAGAGGTATCCAAGGTCACAGGTCCGGGATAGCCGTTTTACCGATGGCTTAGGACATATTCATAATGGGGAAGGTTGTATTATCTCTCCTGGCACTGAACATCACCGAGGCACTGTGGGACCTAACAGCTAGCTGCCTGGGATAACAATTCTCTGGTTATTTCACGAACGCTGGTTGTGACGCGGCAGGGTGCTTATGGTGGTGAACCCGCACCATTCACCTAGGCCGGGGGGAAGAGGGGAAAGTTCATACTCCCACCACACCCACCATGAAGGTTAGGGGAGGCAGCCATCAGGTAGTAGACCAACCACAATCACAACCATCTGGAAGCGACTGTGTGACCAATAAGAAGACCACAAGATCCTACGGTGTACACTGCCAGTGATGGATACTGTCAAGAGCGTATACTGCCAGTGTTTTTTATTACCACCGGTGTGTGTATACTGACAGTGATATACATTACCGATAATAAACACTACTAGTGTTGGACGCTCACTATTGTATACTCAATAATGTACAGTTGTACGCAATCAGTAGTGTAACTACCAGTAATGGACAGTAAAGGTATGGTATACCTGTGGTTTACTACCAGTGAAATGCTTTACTGGTGGTGTACACTACCAGTGTTGGACACTAACACAGGTACAGTACAATACGCAGTATCACAGTACTTTTCATTTTTTTAAGTACTGTGCACTCTGTTGGTGTATATTACAGCGTTGAACGCAACCAGTGATACATTTTACTCGTGTTGTACATCACCAGTGATGTACAATACCAGTGTTCGTCATTACTGGTGGTGTGCATGACTACTGGTGTATAATACCAGCGTTGAACACTACCGGTGGTGGAGGTTATACGACCACTTACAGTCCACCGCCTCCCACGCAGGTTGTTGGTCAGGCAATAACGTGACCTTGTGCACCGTAAGGTAAACGTGACACTACACGGCCCCACTCGTGCTCTACGTTGACTTAGCTATTACAACCAGGGCGTGACCGTGTGCTCAGTGCTCACCAACCGTAAGCACTGGCCTGCTGGCTAAGAATACTGAGAAAATACGGTCCAAAAGTTATAGGTAATCGGATGAATCTTTGCAGATTTTAAGATGAATTCAAAAAGTACGTTTATGTGCAGTAAGGCCCTACGTTGTACAGAAGGAAAATATATTGACACATCAAGTGAGACCTTGCGATGTGGAGAGAAATATATATATATATATATATATATATATATATATATATATATATATATATATATATATATATATATATATATCCAACGAGTAGTAGAGGAAGTATATATTATATGAGGTGGTGGGGCGACCTCGGACCACAAAAGCAAAAATTAAGAGGTACGGCAAGTCATGCTCGGCCAGGTTTTGTAACACAAGGTTGTGTGTGTGTATATATATATATATATATATATATATATATATATATATATATATATATATATATATATATATATATATATATATATATATATATATATATATATATATATATATATATATATATATATATATATATATATATGTGTGTGTGTGTCTGTTTGTCTATCTGTAAGTGTGTGTGTCTGTCTGTCTGTATAAGTGTGTGTCATAATATATGTGCTTAACACCTGATGATGTAAGCTGTTGCTGCCTTTTTCATTTCTCATTGTTATTTATATTTGTTCCACAGTTGGCTGACTTGTGTGTTGGATTTTAGTGTTAGGTAATTTTAAACTCTCTCTCTCTCTCTCTCTCTCTCTCTCTCTCTCTCTCTCTCTCATTTGCTTTATGATTCATTCTTCCTCACTCTCTCTCACTGACTCTCCTCCCAGGCAGTAAGTGGCCAAACAAGACTAGGAAACAATGGGGTGTGAGGAGGTGGACCTGGCGAGAAGGGAGGAAAGTGAAAGTGTTGGAGGAGGCGATGTAGACGGCCCTCACCTTCCCTCACACCCGCTTCTCTCTCTTACCTCCCTACCTTCCCCATACACCCCTCCTCCTCTCCCTCCCTCCCTTACCTCCCTCCCTCCCTTCTACCATTCCCCATACACCCCTCCTCCCTCTCTTACCTCCCTCCCTCCCTTCTACCATTCCCCATACACCCCTCCTCCCTCCTACCTTCTCTCGCCCCTCGGTTAAGGTTGATAGAGGTGGACTTTGGTGGAGGTTGATGAAGAGGTAAGTAGGGGGACGTATGATGATGGTGATGAAGGAAAGAAGAGGAAACGAACCAGTAGAAGGTTAGGGGGAAAGGGAAGAAGGAAAAAAAGAGGAAACAAGAAAGGAAAGACTGGTGAAAAATGAAGTGGGGTGGGGGGGAGAGATAAGAGGCGAGGAAGAAAAAAAGAAAATAATAAAAGGAGAAAAAGGAGAGGAATGATGAGAGAGTGAGAGAAAGGATATAGAGGGAGGAGTAGACCAGATCATTTAGTGAGACGAGCAGGTACACGGGCACAGGTACACGGGCACAGGTACACGGGCACAGGTACACGGGCACAGGTACACGGGCACAGGTACACGGGCACAGGTACACGGGCACAGGTACACGGGCACAGGAAGCATAATAAGGTAAAACATCATCAGTATATCTGCATCATATATTACTATTAACTACAGCATGTATTATTATGTAACAAGTATAACCAGGTCATTACCGTATATT